ATGAGTACATGTGAATGAGTATATGAGAAATGTAGATATTGAATTTTTTACTAGATTAGCTTTAAATTCTATTACATAAGAAGATTCATAATCTACAATTCGTACATTATTTTTGAAATTTTGAATTACTATTTTTCCTTGTCCTGGTAATGTTATAGAATCTAATGCATCATCTGTTTTTTTATGTCCATCGGTGTACAACATTATAGTAAGAGACCAAGTAAATGAAATTACAAAATCACCTTCCCAAGTAATTTCCTTAATATCTGTAAAAATCCTCCCAATAATCTCAATAGATACAAAACTTCACCATCTTTCGTTTTGAGTTTAGGATTAGAACTAATATAAGTGGCATTTGATAGAATCAATTCAGTTGTTGAATAAGTACTTTTTTGTAAAACAGTGGACGTAATTCTAGGATAATCTAAATATATTTTGATCTCTTTTTTTAACGATAATGAAGATAAATAAGTTACTAGAGTGTCAATCAGTTTCACATTTGATTTATCTTCACATGTTGAATAATCAGATCAATGTTTATGTATAATTTGATAACTGATATATAATTCCGCTCTTCCGAAATGCATCCACCCATCTACATTCATATAAATATATGACGTTTTATTAGATTGTCCAATTTTCTTCTCCCTATCAGTAGCAAGAAACAATTGCCATTAATATCTGTCAATTTAATCCATTTACAAGAGTGTAAAAATATATTATTTCTTTAATTCTAAAATAACAGTGACCATATCACCATTGAAGTTAACATGGCAACAAAAGAAAGAAAGAAATTCAAGGAGAGATCAGGCAAAGAGTGAAAGTCGAACGAAAATAGGAATCACAGTTAAAATAGGTTTTCAGAAAAAACAAATAAATAGGAAAGAGGTTGAAGGAAATGAACTAGAAGAAACAAGAGAGAAAAATGATAATCCACGTGCAAAAAACTGAATACTTACAATTCCCAGCACACCAAGGCATAAGAACACAATTTATGATGTAGTCAAAAGATGAAAAACAAGCAATAAAATGCAGAAAATGAAAACCAATGAAATAGAGACATTAAGAAGATACAGGACAACAATAAAACAATCCTTCGCGACAATTGTAATACACTCTTGAAAAATTAAAGAAAACTTAATATTGCTACACAAAATTTGGGGACTTTGAGTACAGAGAAAGACTTGTCGAACTACAAGAATCTGTAACATATATTCATGTAAATATTTTAGGCCTCTCAAATGTTCGAAGAGAAGGAAATGCCATAATTAAACTACCCGGGGGAGACATTCTCAGTTATGTTGGAGAAACAAAAGGCCGTAGGGGTATGAGTTTTTATATCAACAGGCAAATAAAACCCCACGACGAAGAAATTAAGAGATTCAGTGAAAGACTAATTGTTGTAAAATTAAGTTACGAAAAAGACAGCATAGAAATCTTTCGATTTTATGCGCCATTCGAAAACAGCAGTTACAAGGAAATTGAATGTTGATATGTTTTCAAAATGTTCATGGGCATTACCGGCTTAAAGTAAATCGGGAATAAATGTAAGTACAGCTGTGAATATTATACTCTCTAAGATTATACCTAAATGTTTACAAACAGATCGTGGTTAAAAAATTTATAATCAAGATTTTCAACATCAATGAAATAGTTAAATATTAACCATTATTGTAGTTATTTAGAACATAATTCACACATGAATATAATTCAATATTAATAGATGAACATAATCATATCACACATCATACTATTCAAATGAGACCTATTGATGCCAATACATATTGTGAAAAAATATTCTTAAAAACTGTTTATAAAAACGATAAGACTTGTTTTTACCGAAATTCAAAATTTGTGTTTAAGTAAAGTAAGTTAATTAAAATCTGTATTTGATAAATCATATACTGGTAATTGGTCTACGAAAATATTTGAAATTGTTAAAATCATTTATTTCAATCCTATTGTCTACCAGATTTATATTTTCAAGGATCGTTATATGAATATGAATTACAAAAAAAAGAATATTTAGATACCTCTTTAATAGAAAAAGTGTTAAAAACAAAAGGAAATAAAGTATACGTAAAATGGTTAGGGTTTAATGAAACGCAAAATTCATGGCTAGAAAAATTAAATATTGTATAATTTGGAACTATCAAATGGATATTATAATGCGACGAAATTATGCCCAAGTAAAGGAAAACGATTTAGAAAATGGAAGGAAAATAAAAAATTATGATCATATTATGAAGAAAAAATGGTGTGCTCAGATTCGAACACCACAACTATGAATGGAAATAATAGTCGAATTGAAAATTTTAATATATTTAATCAGGACAATGTGTATTTCAAAATTTTATATTAACCATATCTATTTGGATTTCACTTTCGTTTTAAACGAAATGTAACAAACTTGTCAAAGGTTATTTTATTACAGAATTTAATTTTAAATTTAAAAATGATGTAGATGCAAGAGATAAAGAAATTTATAGGATTAAAGAAGAAAAATGAGATTAAGATTATAAATCAAAGGTATTTAAAATGTTATTGTACTTAAACCAATGAATAAAAATAAATTACTATAATTTATAATGAAACTAAAGAAGAAAATTTAGATAAGAGATATTTAGTCAATTATATTAATACACTACTACACGGGTATTAATTATTATGTATATTTCTTTTCATATGATTATTCAAATAATATATAACAATTATACATCCACAGGAACTTTGCGATTTTGCTCTTATGCATTTTTTACATTCATAAGTATGACCATCACATGTAGACTATGGTTTTTATGAAATTAATTTAATTCTTATCCTATTTTACAGGCACAACACTTTTTAATTTATTGAATCTTATTCTATGAATATCTGTGGGTTGATGACGTGATAAATATCTTTTGATCACTGATTCACCAAATTCATAATCTACTTTTTCTAAACATTTCTCCCTATTTCTATACAATATATTTCAAAATAGTTCTCCATCATTTACATAGGAACAATCATTTACGCCCTGACATGTTTAAAATAAATTTAATTTTATGGTGATATGTGATGTTATAGAATTGTTTTTACTACAATCGATATTTAAGAGATATAAATTATTTTTTTTAGCTTTCATTAGAGTATTCAAAAATTCATAATATTGTTAATATACATCATCTTTAAAGAAATAAATTCCATCATTCACATAACTGTGTACTTCATCCATTGATGATGGTATACATGAGAAATCTCTTAATATCATACCAAAATCTTCTATTTGAGAATGCATTGATCAATTTCAGCATAATATATAAAATAAATTAATAGTTGATAAATAGCTGTAATTTCTTCAAAATCTGCTAGTGAAAACGATAACCAATTTCGAACAAGTTGTAGATGATTAATTTAATTCGTTTTTACATTTAGGATCCAAATTCATTCTTTATATAATAGATAGAATATACCGTGTAATCAAAAATGTTAAATATTCAAAGTAGCAAATAATATACGATTATTTTGTGGATTTGGTGGTGACGATGGTAATACAGGAGATTAATGACCATAATAACTTTCAATAGCTGAATTTTGTCCGTATGGGAATCTAATAATCCGTGATAATAAGCATACATTATCGCTTTTCGATAATTTTTATTGTCTATACCTTATGTATTTCCAATTTCATGAAGTATAAGAGAAAAATTATTTTAAGCTTGTGGTGTATTTGCATCTCTATTATAATACCAATCTTTCTTTTAAAACAATATGGATTTCTAATGGAGAATTATTTGCATTACAAAGTTTCGCATGTGCTAATATACCACATTTTCCATCAAATTTATGGGAGCACATATGTTGTTCACGTTGACATGGATATTCACCACTTTTATTCGATATAATTATATCAGAATGTAAAATACCTCTCTCAAAATTTAATTTGTAGGAGATAGCCATATTTCAAATGCTGATTCAGTTAAAATTATTGCCTGATTTACATTACTATAACACCATTTTATTGAATTCATAATCCATTTTGGGAAGACCTTTTAAAATGAGTATCATGAACACCAGATTAGGGTGATTTAATAAATCAAATGTATCACTATTTAACTCTCCATCTAATGGTAATTGATATTATTCTTGAAGTTTAAGACTGGCATTGTTACGATTCGTTGAATTTTATATAATGCTTGAAATGTTAAAAATTATATTTTTTGAAATATGTGGTCTAGGGTTCTACACGTTAACAAGTAAAATTATCAAAAAATGAGAAAAATTTGGGATAAAAAATGAAATTTAATAAATTTAAATATTTTAATACGATTTTAATGAATAACTGGAAACGTTTAAAATCAAAAGTTGTGGCCAAGGACTCCCCTTTTGTATACTACTCTCGATCAACACGAAAGTTGGCACATCTACGGGTTTCTTCATGCAGAAGTTTTTTTTAAACTTTTTTGTAACTACTAAATGACGCTTCAGCACAAGATTGCGTTTAATTTTAATATAATTTGCATTCAATCTGAGCTTCGTTGTTGGTGAGCGTTGCCTTGTAATGCGGGGCGAGGCTGAGGAGGACAGGACAGGCGGTGCGAGAGAGGGGGAGACAGACAGGCAGATATGCAGGGAGAGAGAGAGGCATGAACATACAGAGACACAAAGATAGCAGGAAGAGACAGACGGAGGCAGACAGAGACAGAAAGAAAGGAGACAGAGGCAGACAGGGAGACACAGAGCCTGATAGAGAACGACCGACACAGAGACAGAGAGAGGCGTAGGGAGAGACGGAGAGAGAAAGAGAGAGACGGTGAGTGAAAGAGAGATGGAAGGAGAAAGAGGGAGGGGAGGGAGATGGACAGTAGTACAATGTCTGCCGGGATCCGCCAGTTAAACTTAAATATTGTATATTTAGCTTTTTATTTGCTCATGTAATACCCTAACAAAAACGTTACTTAAATGTTTTTCAGCCACTCTTCCGTAATTTGAGCATTTTCGACTTTCATCGGACGCAGTTTGACTCGCGCTCGCCGGTGGTGCTGTCTGTTCTGAGTTTGGAGCTGCCTGAAATTACAAATGACGACCTGTCGGAGCATGTAGGGATAATGGACGAGTTATGGGAATGTCACATGTCCTTTCGAGGCATCTTTTTCCTTCAAGATGCTCTTGGAAAATATGTGGGACTTTTCAGAGCTCATCCAAAGAGAAGTATTGCGTGGTATATAATGGTCGACGGTAGTGTTATAAAGAAGGCAATAGAAGAGTTGAACTTATTCTCACGTAACTTGGATGCACATATTTTACCTATATTCAGGCCATCATCCTATAATGATGAAACGTTCTTTTTTTCGGACGGCAGAAAAATTAAATCTCTTCAACAAGAAATAATAACTACTTTAAAAGAAAAATTACTCTTTACTCTTCGGGACATTCCTGCGTTGCAGAAGTTGGATGCAGAAGCGGTGAGTTAAAAATACTTTTAAATATTCGGGGTCTCTTTGCTAGGACAAATGATGCATAATTCAATACTTAACAATTAGAACAAATTTTCGAGATAATTACGTTTTTCCATTTTCCACATCCTATATTTGATGGCATTTTTTATTTTAATAAATTATATTGATAAAATAAAATAAATATTTCACATTAATTAATAGTTTCTATTATAAACAAACATGCGGCCTGACGCTCTATCTCGATCCGATGTCAGACCAAAACATTTTACATTAACCCATTAGATTTATAGAAAAAAATTATCAACATATTTTTTTAAGTTTATCAAGGATTAATAAAGAAAAAACTACGAAAGAATTGAAAAATTTGGACCAAGTCGCCCAATTTCACGGCATTAGTTTTTTCTAACGAATGTACAGTTTTATATTAGGTATTTTTCAGAACAAATTTGATTTAAAACAAAAATCTCTAGCTTCTATTTTTTGGCTTCCAATGTTAAGTTTTTGTAATTTTCGAAAATACGGAGAGTTCAACTAAAATAATACTTGCACCATTATCTTGAGCGCAACTTCTTCTATCAGTGGATAAAATTAAATAAATTTGGAACTTGTTTTATAAAGTATGTTTTTAAAAACTGCATAATTTCAAACCCAAATTTGTCAAACACTCCTCTTTTTTTGCAAATATATTGTGCATGGTCTTCTTTAGAGTTGATTGTTTACCGCAGGCTTTGTCTGAGGTAAAATCTCTTTCATCAAAGTTGTAGTTGTAATGTTCACTTTTTGCTATTTTAGAAAAACCTTGAGATAGCTTAAAATGGGACCATATTGTTACTCGAAAGAAGAGAAAAATTAGTTTTAAATAAGTAAATAATAAATTTTAATTACCGATATTTCGCGCAAAATTACACGTAAATAATATTTTTGAAAAATTGATCATGAACTTATTTAAAGATGTGAAGATTTTATTAAGGAACAACGTTTCAAGTTCAATATTATTTTTAAAGGAAATCGCCGAAAAATTTAGAAATTTTGTATTTTTTTTGAAACATCAGGGGTTTTAACGAAAATCAGACATGCACCATTCTTTTAAGTCTTCTAACCGTCCATCCGACAACAAAATGTAAAAAAAAACATTTGGGACCATTGAAAATTTTGAAAATGACAGATGGATTTCATATAAAGTCCACCACAATATTAAAATATTTGTTACAAATTCTAAAGGACGTAACATCAGCTAGATTGATTGGGAAATATCAATTTTCGAAAAAACCGTCTGAACGGTGTAGATGCTAGCGTTGACGGACGGACAGACACGTTTTGTCGTCAATCGATTTTTCGGTGTCAAGGATCCACAAAACATGGATTCTGACTACCCAAGCCGTTATATATAATTTACTATGTTTAGGTACAAAAATTATTGACTTTCATTACCAGGCCTGGCAATAAAGGTTTCTTTTTTTCGAAATTTTGTCGTTTTCATCTTACAGTGATGCTATGACCAAAACAAGTTAATTTCATAAAACAGTTTTTTATTTACAATTGCTGAACATACAAAGCCATTAACATGCGTAGTTACAAAATAACCAGATTTACCGGGAACTTCCCAGATTTAACAAAAACCGGAGAGATGTCCAACAAGAATGCCGTGGTCGCAATCCAAATTCCAGAAGAGAAGTCCATTATACTGGCCGGCAGCGTAGTCACTCACTAACTTGCACTCTCGTAGCTCGCACTATGATGGAACTGCTGGAACTTCGCTCACTGCTCGCTGTGCGCCGTTTTATAAACGGTCAGGGCCAAAGGGTCACCGACTGGCCCGGCCGTTCGTCCGATGGCGCGCTCGGTGGCGCCGACCTCCGCTGAACCCGACCTCAGCGACCTCCCGTGAGCGGCGCCCGTATTTTCCTGGTGCGCCGCCGCCTCGCTGCTGCACCCCGGTGCCGGTTCTTTCAAAGGGGCGCGGGCAACCACTACAGATGACAATACTTTATATTCCACGATATACTTTATATGAGCGCGAAAGTAAAATCGATTGACGGCAAAACAACTGTCTGTCGATCCGTCTAGAGTCAACGCTAGCGCGAAAATTCTTCATATGATTTTTTCTACAACTTCATACGATGTTTCCTATCGGCCTCAACGATCCCAAAGCCCATCGAGTGTGAAATGAATATCTATTTTGGGACTATTTTCAATTAAGCCTCAAAAACATTCGTAATATATTTTTTTTTGAAAATGGCTCCAAACTTTTTTCCGCATCTTCCCGCAACTCCAGCAATGTTGTTAGGTGATTTTTCTTATCTGATTATCAATAATGAAGATACAAACCTGATAATCAAAACAGATGTTTAAAATAGATCATATTCAATTTTTCGGTAATATGAGTGATTGTGGGATCAATTTGCGTAAAACATGGGCAACAACAATTTAAAAAAATTAGTTATTGATATACACAAAACATACTTTCTCATATTACTTCTCAATTTGGAATTTTTGCAGAGTCAGAAACTGCAAACTACGCCATTATTTTAAACGGTCCTGGTTTTAATCGTAGGAAAAATTTCATGATAAATATGAAGAGTTTTTTAATGTGTTTTTTTTTCGTAAATTGATAAAATTTCAAACACATATTACGCAATAAGTACTCGCCCATTCGTAGGCTTCAGCGGCCGAAGTCATTTGATACTTGACTGTCCAGGATGAGCTGCATCACTATCGGTCGAGTTGATGTATCGACCATCTTGTTGTGTCCTCCAGAGCTTGACCGACAGTGACGCTGCTCACCCTAGACAGCCAGGTGTCAATAGCTACTCGTTTTTAAAAACATTTTACAGCACCTAATAAAAGAGGTCATTTTAGTCTTTTTCAAGGGAAAGTCTCTATATTCAATTTGGGAGTTTTTAAATGTTAAAATTTAGCAACTTTTGAGACTACAGAGTTCCCCAGAAACGAGACTAGAACATTTTTTTTCGTCTAGTGATACATACGAGGGGGAAATTTAAAGAAAAAATTGGAACGGTTTTTAACGAAAAAATAGTTATATTACTTCCAAATTGCCAATATTTCAAGCAAAATTACGCAAAAAATACTCCTATTTCCGAAAAATTATTCAACGCTTTATTTCAAGATGAGACTATCACAGACATCAAAAACGCTCCATTTTTTTCTCTGGATTTTGTTTCACGGATAGAAAAAGAACGCTGAAAAGAATGACGCAGGTATCAATTTCGTCAAAACCCCCTAATGTTCGAAAATTGCTAATTTAAAAATTAAGAGAGAACGTATGTGCTGTTGTAGCACTAGTAATTGAACTCTCCGAATTTTTAAAAATTACAAAAGTTCTAAGTAATTCCTGTGGCCTTCTAGAATTACAAAAGAGATATTTTTTCATCATGAAATTGGTGCATCAAAAAAATTAGAAATACGGTGATACACAATTTTTCGAAAATATGAGTAGTTTTTACATATTTTTGTATGAAGCAGGCAATTTTGAAATAGTATTTGTAAATCCCTATTTTCTCAAAATCTGTTCTAAATTTTTTCTTTACCTTTTTTCCTTGTACGTAACAAAGAACCGTAAAGATAATACTGTTTTTTCATTGTCGGCGAACTCTGTATTCTGGAATGTTTAAACAAGAGCAACAAATTTGCAAAAATACAAATCTATTGACGTGACTTTTTGGTACTATATAAAATATGTTCTAAAAAATTGGTACTTTAAAGGAGGCCATAAACATTATTAAAGACATTTGTAGTTTAGTTTCAAAATTAGTTTCAATTTTTTCAAAATGCAGATTCGAATTTTTTGAACTTCTGCTCGAAGGTTTCAAGAATCGGACTGCTTAGCAACAACGCAGCATGCCACGTCCGGCCAATGGCTTCGAAATTCTTCAAATTTGTTCGTATTGACGAGAAATATTAAAGCTGTATGAAAACAAGTTTTAAATGTGAAATTTGTTTTGATATATTAGCTATAAATGAAGTTGTTCGGCCCTAATGTTCTACAATTTTGAATGAATTTTATAAATGATAACAGATGTATTAAAACAAATGAAATTGGAAAAATATTACGTAACTGGAAATATCATTTTACGTAACCGTTACTAAGTTCGAGAAAGAACCTCTAGTTCATCTCAATCTTCCCTACATTTACATTCACTTATATTGTTTTAACGAAGAAATAAATATATATCGTCTAAATTGTACTTTTGCAAGATTAAGGTTTTGATATTAAGAAAATAGAATTCGGCTATCAAGACACTAGAACCAATTTGTAAACCGTCCTTACGAAGAGAATAATTAAAAATTTTGAGCAGTTTTTTAGAAAAAAATATTGAAACGTTCCCTCAATTTCACGTAAAATTGTGTCCAAACAACTCATATTTTCGAAAACCCATTCTTCTAATTGCTGTTTGCGCTATCCTGAGACAAAGTTCAATCAAAAAATTTGGTTTCATTTTTTGGAAAATTTTTAAACTGTTGTTTACTGTTCATACAAAGTACCACCAAGTATCAAAATATTAATTTCAAACTTGCAGGACTTTGGGCATGCTTAGATAAACGGTTTTAGAGAAAACATACTTACTGGCCAACGCCCACCCTTGGCAGGTTAGACATTTGGTGACGCGCTGAGCAGTACAGACAGGCTGTCTCTCTGTATGGTACGCTCTCCTCCGGGTTTGTGTTGGACTCAGGGCTGGGCACATCGGAACGCGTGCTGCATCCATTTTGGGGGCAATACATAGCACACAGGTTTTACCTTCGAAGACGCCTACGAGATGCAGGTGGCTGGCAAGGTAGTCCTGACCACGGCGGCACTGGTGGGTCGAGGTAGATTGCGGGGATCGGCGTTTCCGTCAGGCTGGACCAAAGTTTCCCGGCGGCGCTCTCGGTTCTTCGTGCTTTTACCCAGGCATTTATTGAGCGCTTTATGCCGGATTTGGCAGCGGAATACGACTGATGGCTTAGTGGTCAAATACTGTGACTTTCTTGGCCAACTCGTCTGC